GTTTCAACACAAACGGACAAAACTTTTCAGTAGACCTAATAATATGTAATCATAAGATTATTTATATTTCTGCAAATAATATTTTTTAAATAAAAATCAAAGTATTTACAAACAGAATATAATGCTCTTAAATAGTAGGTCTACTGTAAAGTTCTGTCTGATAATGCTGTCTCAAGTTTCAACACAAACGGACAAAACTTTTCAGTAGACCTAATAATATGTAATCATAAGATTATTTATATTTCTGCAAATAATATTTTTTAAATAAAAATCAAAGATCTTTTCCTATTGATATATCGTGATAATTACACTATGATAAATATTTCGTTGCAAAGTTATTTCATTGATATGATCTATCACAATATTTCTTTTTTACTAACATTGGTTAAGTATAATGTAGTGAACCGCATCTGAAATACAGAACAGAATCTGTTGATGCAAGAAATTTGGTTTATCTGTATCTACATTCCAAAGAAAATGAAACCTAAGAAGCATTAATCTTGGGTGCAAGGCAATTTTTACTACGTGAATGGAAAGTTTATTAAATGTTTACCATAATTGAAAATAATTTTGTTTAAGAATAAGACAGAAAAGATTACTTGTATCTAAATTTAAACTCTGTAATCTCTATTCATCATTGAGAGTTAAATTTATTCTAGTTGCATTTCTCATGCTGAAATTTTGTTTTATGTAATTGGGAAAAGTTTTGTAAAACATACCTGTTATAAAAATTTATACGATGCATTATGTATGTTGATTCATGGGAAAAAATTATAACAGTTCATGATGTAATTAACAAATTCTTGATCAAACTTGAACTGTAATGTAATAATTAGTGTATTCCCAGTGAACACTGTTATATAACTGTTGGGTAAATGTTACGTTTTCGAAACTAATATGTTATGTAGCATAAAAGTAACATGGAAGTTAGATGTTAGTTATTGGGGGCAAAAAACGGTGAAAGCTTACGTACGAAATCAGAGGGCAGCACACGGTGCGATCGCGCGACCCTGCCCGTGAGCAATCTCCCAACTCANAATTTTTTATTTTTAATTATTTTTTGGTACTTGACAATAGTTAGATATTAAATGACAAGTCAGACTTTCAATGAAATTATGTAAGTGATGAACTATCTGATTTTACTTAGACTATTATGATTTTATTCGACTAGCAAACAATTGCTGATAATGTATATGCGAGTACGAATTAAAATCACATTTTTTCATACGAGTAGTAAACGAAGTATGACATGTATTAATCTTATGACATTTAACGATGAATTATGACAATGACGATGTCGATGATGTAATAAAATAGATGACAGTTACCACCAATGTAGTTCTGTTTTGTTACAAATATGTGCTGCATATACACAGTAATATTAGGACAGTAACATAATGTAAGATAAGAGTAACAAAGTTACGCTACATTTATGTAGATATGATAATGACAAATGTTATGTAACCTGTTAGCTCCATGTTACATAATTGGTAATTTACTGCATTGTAACAATTGGCATGTAACTAGTTAGCTCTATGTTACGTAACTGTTAGGTTATTATATTGTAACAAACGTGGTTATTTGTTAGTTTTAAGTTACGTAACTGTTAGGTTTGGTGTTCAGTGGGTTAGGGGTACTCATAAGTAATCAATTATTTTGAAAGAGGTATTTTAGATGTGAAAAAAATTGATTACTTATGGGTACCCCTACTATATTTAACGTTGGTATATTAGTTGTAATGTATAGATTGTTGGGGGAGTCTTATAACTGTACAGTAGAAAAGATGCCACATAATTAGATACCATAGAATCCTAACATTTTACTTTGATTTGTGTACTTAACAAGGGAACATACCTATATGTCCATCTCCAATTTGATTTGTTTTGAAATATGGTATAGAGTACTAAAAAATAAGGGACATCTGATTTTTTATAGTTGCCCATTTTCATAATTAGAGGATGAAACCACTCTTTGAAGTTATCGAATAAGTACTCGAGAAATAGAATTTTCAGTGACATCGGTTTATTATATTTCAGTGGAAACTGAGTTTCACTTGTAGTTATGTTAGTATCTGTTAGTCAGACATTGGTTTGTTTAATAAACCGCTCATTTCACGAAGTTAAGTATCCTTGGATGCTTAAAATACACGTAAATTTGTGCATTTCAAGAGAATGATGTTTTCTTTCCTTAATGATTATTCTGAAAAACCCGTACTATTAAAGGTACAAAAAGTGTTTAAATTTATGAAAAGTAATTTTATAACTACAAGGGTTGAATCACTCCCTTAAAGTATTATGAAAGTGTCATCCGCAATATCAATTGTTTATAAAACTTTACTGCGAACAGGGTGCACTGAATTGCTTTAAATTTTACCATGTGAGTTTGAAGGCCCTAAAAAAAGTCCTTGCGCTTACGAAATTTCTTTGTAAAAACCTAACAAAACATTTGAAAACAAATTTTAAAACAATGAAATTTTATGGGTGTCAGAACCTTCCTTAGGGTCTTCATATTCACGTTGTAAAATTTCAAACAATTCAGTGCACTCAGTTCGCAAAATAGTTTTGTAAGCAATTGACCCTGCAGATGCCACTTTCACATTACCTTAAGGAGTGAGTCAATTCCTGTATTTGTAAAATTACTTTTCATTAATTTAAGCAACTTCTTGTTCTTTTAATAGTACGGTTTTTTCAGAGTAATCATTAAAGAAATAAAACATCAATGATGTGAAATACACATATTTACGTGTATTTTAAGTATACGGAGGTAATTAACCTTGCAGATTTTTTTTTTTAATATATTGTGACGTGGCAGTTCTCCAAGGGGCTATCTGCCCCTGGCGAGGCCCGCTGCACCTCGGCTTCTTGCGCGCTTCACCTTCGCCCGATCGCTTCGAGCGGGACCGTCCGAGAGATTATTTTTCTTCCGCTACCACTCCAACTCTCGAAGCCCATCGGGACCCTTCGAGAGGCTACCAAGAACACCAAACTTACGAGTCTTCGGAGTTCACCAGGACACCCTCCGAGTCGATTCCACTATAGCTCAAAATTTTGGGTGCCTGGCCTCCCCCGGAGGTCTTTTCTTAAATCCTCATAAAATCTTAATATCCTGAAAACCCTACAAAACGTCTCTCGGGCGACCGGAACGGCGCGGCCGGTTAGCTCAGAGCGCACGCGCCAACTTCGGACGATCGCTTCGAGCGGGACCGTCCGAGAGATTATTTTTCTTCCGCTATCACTCCAACTGTCGAAGCCCACCGGGACCCTTCGAGAGGCCACCAAGAACACCAAACTTACGAGTCTTCGGAGTTCACCAGGACACCCTCCGAGTCGATTCCACTATAGCTCAAAATTTTGGGTGCCTGGCCTCCCCCGGAGGTCTTTTCTTAAATCCTCATAAAATCTTAATATCCTGAAAACCCTACAAAACGTCTCTCGGGCGACCGGAACGGCGCGGCCGGTTAGCTCAGAGCGCACGCGCCAACTTCGGACGATCGCTTCGAGCGGGACCGTCCGAGAGATTATTTTTCTTCCGCTATCACTCCAACTGTCGAAGCCCACCGGGACCCTTCGAGAGGCCACCAAGAACACCAAACTTACGAGTCTTCGGAGTTCACCAGGACACCCTCCGAGTCGATTCCACTATAGCTCAAAATTTTGGGTGCCTGGCCTCCCCCGGAGGTCTTTTCTTAAATCCTCATAAAATCTTAATATCCTGAAAACCCTACAAAACGTCTCTCGGGCGACCGGAACGGCGCGGCCGGTTAGCTCAGAGCGCACGCGCCAACTTCGGACGATCGCTTCGAGCGGGACCGTCCGAGAGATTATTTTTCTTCCGCTATCACTCCAACTGTCGAAGCCCACCGGGACCCTTCGAGAGGCCACCAAGAACACCAAACTTTCGAGTCTTCGGAGTTCACCAGGACACCCTCCGAGTCGATTCCACTATAGCTCAAAATTTTGGGTGCCTGGCCTCCCCCGGAGGTCTTTTCTCAAATCCTCACAAAATCTTAATATCCTGAGAACCCCACAAAACGTCTCTCGGGCGACCGGAACGGCGCGGCCGGCTAGCTCAGAGCGCACGCGCCAACTTCGGACAGGGCGCGGTTAAGGACTTTTAGCTGATGAAATCTCAGAACACGACCGCCTGACTAAAAACTACCATTTTATCTCGGCTTCTTAATTTTAGATTTTGCTTTCTGAAGGTTTCCAATTCTTGTCCTGATGGTAACATTCCTGCTGCGATGTATTCGCCAAACGCATTGACGACCGTCTTCTTCTCGTCTTCGGACCAGCATCTTCGTATGACTACAACGATAAATGTAAATCGAGTGAATTAATTTCAATTATGAATGCTCATAATGGAGAATTAACAAAGTTGAGCTGCATATAAGATCGTATCGAGTAAAGTTTGGAATAATCATCTATATTAGTGTAGGAAATGTATTATTATGTAAAACTGAAAACTTAAAAACTGTGCAACGTTTCAATTTTTCGTCAACTAAGGTCAATCATATTTCTCCTACCTTTTCGACTATTCCGTGCAGATATGTTGTAAGAGTTGCAATTAGTTGATGTACCTACAGGCATTCGAGGGATTTAGTCGAAAGTTGGCACCGATATCATTCTTTTGACGTGTGATTTTCGTTTTTTATGTAGTTACGTGTAATTTTGATTTTCAAATAAAAGCGAATTATAACGACTAGTTCCCTCGACAATATTTTCCTCGTTGCTGCGTTTCAGGTTGAATGAAATGGAAATGAACGGGTATGCTGTCGAATTGAATTTCTTCGTCATTTCAACGCGTACGAAGAATACCTCCTCTTTGCGTAGGGAATTCGTTGCTCGGTTAACGCTTAACCGGTACAAACGTGGACGCTATTTGTCCCTGACTCGCATATGGAATCGCATGGATCTTGGCACATTTGGTTTTGCGCTGCTAATGCCGAGACGACGTTCGTTTGACGTCTAGGAGACGTTCCATTGACGTCCAGGAGACGTTCGTTTGACGTCCGGGCGACGTTCGTTTGACGTTCAGTTGACGTCCTCTTTACTTTCCTTTCGTAAAATTTGACGTCGATATAACGTCTATAAGAGGACGGTACGCTTTACATGAAATTGACATAAAGTTGACGTTCGTGGTCACACCAACAACGAATGTCACTATCGCAAAGTTTACGTAAACTTGACATCAAACGAACGTCGGTGTTGACGTTTATTTATACGTTTCTTTAACGTGCACATCGCGGACACTCGGACGTTAACTTTACGTCAATTTTACGTTCCCAACGTCTAATATTACGTTGATTTGACGACGCAAGTCCGAAAAGAGTACGTCACATTGACGTCTTTACGTATGTGCTCCGTTGGGGGGGGGTATACAGTGAAGACACTTGTAGAAGCAAATATGTTATCTTATTTATAAAAGCTTGTGTTGATAAGAAGCTGTCAATAACTGAGAAGACGCAATATTGTATTATGCTGCGATAAGTTACTCTTAAGGGGGAACGCCACTGTGACGGCCGGAAAAATAACCGATTTTCACGAATTTTTTTGAAAGGTTTAAATAATTATTAAAGGTATGGGGTTCTTGTTATTTTATTAAGTATACATTTAACTTGTTTAATATAAATTTTTATTAAAAAATTTAAAAAATTGACAATGATATAAACTTAACCATAGGAAAATAAATTCCCCCTCCGTTGTCCCAGGGGTTTCGCGGTGAAGGGTTATCTGAAAAAAAAAATTTAGTACGTTGTATTTTTCCGGCATTTCGACGATATGCTGACCAAGATGAAAGCAAGGGTAACCCTCTAAAGGCTACGCTGTTAGGATTTTAGGTGGCGTAAGGTTTGATTGAAAAATATAAGGTGCAAAACGTCCAAAGAAAGTCTAGAAGATAGTCCTAGTAAGTAGTGAATGTAAGGAAAATGTGTTTTTATACACTTGAGGAGTTGCTCGGAGTAGTCACCATTCCAGCTCGTTGAGGCTGTAGGCAGTTTGGAACGAATGACTCATTAATAAAAACATTCAGTTGATAGTTTTCCATTACATTGTACACGTTGATTAAGGAATCAATATTATTTTACTATTTCAATATTTCTATCTTGTACAGGAACGAATACCTTATTTGACTCCAGAAGAAAGAAAGGTTTATGATGAATGTGTGGCACAAGCAACCACAAGTGACGTATGGCTCCCAGGGGTCATGTTTGGATTCAGCACCTATATTGGAATGAAATTTATCCCGTGGCTTCACGCAATGGAAAAATCTACAAAAATGTTTATCCTAGCATCTTCTGTTTTTACTGGAATAATCATGGCGAAAGTAAGGGTATCTTCGAAATGTGTCCAACAATTATTGTTACTCCCAGATGGCAATCTGCGTAAAATGGCCGAATTTGCAAGGGAAGGAAAACAGCAGTTCGTGAGGTATTATTATTTGTTGCCCTAGAAACAACAATATTAAGATAACATTTATGTGATATCACGTCAGAATAAAATTAATTTTCATACTTTTTTTTTTGTATAGTGACATCTATGTACCTGCTGATGACTCTACAACTACTACCCTGACTGATAATTCTTCCAGTTCTGGAGTTGACATGGATATATACCATTCTCCAAGTACATTTGATTCTTTTGCAGGGAGCAGCAGCAGCAGTAGTATGTTATCATTATTTACGTATCGCAGATTTCATAATAGTTTACAGCATTCATAATTAAGAAAAACAGAATTGCATAAAGAGTGATTTAAAACGATTGCAGCATTCGGAATAATGGGAAATCGATAGCTCTTAATTTCAAATTCACAGGACAAATGCTTCAGATACCTCTCGGCTATAAATTATAATATTCTTAGTCTAACTCCGTAGACAGTTACTCATGGCTTTGCACACGGACAGAAACAGGGCACAACGCCTTGCCTAACACCGATAGGAGTGCAGGATCATCGAATTACCGAACTGAGTCCTGCCGAGTGGGTCGATAATGGATTCTTAACAATAAATTAGGAAAATCAAAAGACGAGACGAGTATGAAAACTATTTACACGCTAGCGGTTTCGGTGAAGACGCAACATTAACACTTTACCAACCGGAAGCCTATTAATCGGTTTTGCGATACCCGTGATCGCCATTTACTTCCAAATTCGTTGGTCGGTAAAATGTTAAGTAAAACGATCTGTACTACGTCATGACCTAACGCGGAAATCCTACTTTATTATTAATCCTACGGATTAATCGATTGATCACGTGGTCCTCTCTTAACGGTGGGTCCACCTTGTGGGCCATGCCGATCAACCGAATGGTATACTCCGTCCGGCAAGTCTTCTTAGCATCGTCATACACACCAAATTCTAGTTTTTCGCGGATTTTGTACTGAATGTTCTCATTTCAATACCGTCATTTAAATGTTCGTTGAAATTGGTCGAATGTATCTATTTCGTATTCCCGAAGCATCCGCCAATCCTTGGTTGCACTACACAGACACTGAGTTACTAGAGTTTTTAAGACGTATGCCGGCCCAGTGATCACCTATATCTGGTGATCCTTTGAAGTTTGGTGGCATGCATCGGGATGCACTCCACAGATCAGTGTTCCTTTCCGTGCCGTATTTGAAGTGAAACACCCTTCAAATCAGTCGATTTGAATACAACACTTTTTTTTATGGGTATTAGACCAACCCGTCCGAAACTTTGACACATCACTCCTGATCATCTAAGAATTGTCCTGACACATTGAAAATTTGGATTTTTCAAACAAATTTTTTAACTCAGCCTAGACCAGGACCAAAATGGCGTCGAGCTCTCATATTTCGATCAATATACAATTATCGAAGGCTCTGATATGAGAATCGAAAGGGTCAGGACAATTTTACGACAATTTAGAACACTCTAGTAATCGATAAACTCGTATTTTAACGGGATAAAGGCAAAAAAAAGTATTGTATGCGCTTCTATGCCAAAACGATGGTAATACGAGGTCTCGGAGTGAAGACTTAATTGACCTAGAAATCACAGATGACGCAGGGGGTCCCTCTGCAGTCAATTAGGGCCTCAGAAAGCATGAATCTAGAGGATTTCTGGAGTTTTACTTTGATTTCTTTATAATTATTGTACGGAAACGACATATGGTGTACGCCATTTGGTACAATATCCAATATAATTCGACACAGCTGTCAATATAATAACGACCGTCGACAACGTAGGCATTTAGAAAAATCTTCTTTATCGACGTTGACCAAGTTCCTCGACGTGTTTCACTTCACCTTAACAATAAGAACATCCTCTATTTCCTTAATTATTGCACATTCTGTTCATTACTTTGCTCTACACAACTGTCTTGTGATGTTTATAAATGTTTCATTTTTTAAAAATCGCATTATAGTTCTTCATACAGCGGAAAAAACACGGGGCGTTAAGCATCTTTTTTTCTAAATTCTACTTTATCGTGCTATATGAAAACGTACCGTACATTTTCTAATGTACTTTATTTATTTTGTTTAAGGCGCTGACAGTGATAATGCTTCGTTGAATTCACCCGAGGGCCCATCCACCCAGTCTGCTTTAACGTATGATGAATTGCGAGCTAGAAATAGAGAGGAATACGCACATTCAAGAAACAAAGTGTACGTATGATACTAGAGTATTTAATATTTCAAGGAGAAACATTGCCGGCATATATCATTGGACTGGCAATTCATGTTTAATATGTGCCTTATTCTTGGAATTTACGTCTTAATACTGTTATAGTACTAGAAGGATCATTGCATTATTTGTGCGTTGCTATCTGCGTTGTATAGGATTTTACCATCCGCAACCTTGAGGTGAAGTGAAACCCCCCTCAAATCAATCGATCTGAATAGGACCCTTTTTTTAAAGGTATTGGATAGAACCGTTTGATATTTAAACAAATGTCTCGTGATCATCTAAGAATTATCCTGACACTTTCAAAATTTGGATTTTTCCAACAAATATTTCAACTTAGTCCAGACCAGTACTAAAATGACGTCGAGCTCATATTTCGATCGATATACAATTATTGAAGCCTCTAATATGAGAAACGAACGTGTCACGACAATTGTACTACAATTTACAACACTCTGGTAATCGATAAACTTGCATTTAAACAGGATAAAGGCAAAAAAGTGTCATACGCTACTATGGTAAAACGATGGTAATGCGAGGTCTCGGAGGGAAAATTTAGTTGACACACTAAAATCACAGATTGCACATGGTGTCAATTAAGTGGTTTTGTAGACTCATTTTTATTTGAACCAGAAACGATTGTTTCTTGAGTTCTGCAATGTGATTGTATAATTATGAAGTGTTTATTTTAATTCAAGGTTATCTGATGCTGAAGGGCGAAGAAGAATCCAGCGGCTCCCGCCTTCGGCGCCAACAGTTAATGAAGGACCTACTCCCATAGTTGAGAAAACTAAATATGGAGACGTTTGGGGATAATTAAAAAATATGTGTTTAAGTTTATATATTACAATACATATGAATATAGTACTACGAAATAGGCACCTTACGATACTTATTGTGTTTAATACACCGTTCATTAAAGAAAATGGTGGCGAATAGAAGATGTCCTTCAGTATACACTGGATATTTGCAGGTCGTACATCCATAATACAAGACATTTCATAAAATGAGTTAAGATTTGATTAGCTAATGCATTTCATATTTCAGAGAAAATGAAGAAAGATTATGAAGTATATATAACGCAAACCGTCTACATTCTTGTATAATAGCATGTCCACTTAACAGCGTTCACCACCAAAGTGGGGACGATGACTTCCACCGCTAGATGGCATTAGCATCGAATTCGGTGGGAGGTAACCAAAACGTACTTTCTCGCTCGGATGAGGGAGACGCGACGCATAATGGGCGGTGTTTAGCAACGGGCGAAAAATGTGTGCCTATTTTGCACGTATAGGACTCACGCAACGGCTAGACGCCTCTGGACTAGGCGCCGAAACGTGTGTGACCCCCGGCCGCACGCACACGCCAGGTGGACGCTCCGCCTAGAGTCGGCAACGGTTGCCAAGGAATGCCCAAATTCCTCGCGAGAAAGTCGAAAATCCTGAAAAAGGTGCTCCACGGGGACAACGATTTTGAGCGTATTTCTCAACCGATCGAGCTCAACGAGTGCTCGTTTTAAAGATAAAACGTTGACGTGTGTTTATATGGGAGCGATTTTCGATCGAGCACCTCCTTCCTAGGTAAAAGGGCATGGAAATTATGTCGTTGCACTTTTTTATATGAAAATGACCATTTATCGAAAATCGCTCCCATATAAACACAAGTCAACGTTTCATCTTCGATATGAGCATTCGTTAAGCTCGATCGGTTTAGAAATACGTCCGGAATCGTTGTCCCCGTGAGGCCCTGCAAAATCGCTAGAGTGGTGAGCGCCCTTAAGCTCGATCGGTTTAGAAATACGTTCGGAATCGTTGTCCCCATGAGGCCCTGAAAAATCGCTAGAGTGGTGAGCGCCCTTAAACCGAGACGGTGGAAATTTGGATTGGCGACTGGAGCAACCCGCTCAAATTTATTTAAGGGCACCAGGCATGCTTCACCATGCCGCAGGCCTTCCGGAAATCCCGGCTAAGAAAGTTCAAGCTCGGCTGTGGAAAATCGCAGAAAAGCTCCGATTGCCGGCCACTCAGCCCCGCAAGAATCCGTGAAGAACTACATGCGGCACGGTAGAGTCGGGGGGTTCACACAAGAAACACGGAGTCATTAAAAGAAGTTCGGATTAGAGTGCGGGAATAAGTTAAAAGATCAAAATTCGATAATTACCAACTAACGGAAGCTCTTGATTAGACAAAATACTTCTGGATCCCACCAGAGCGAATCACACTGTTCACCAGTATCGACCACAAAATATGGAGCACAAGGCTCCCGAACATTTTCCTCCGGCACTCCGGCCATGAAAGACTGGGCACAACGCCCTCACTAACTCCGTACAGTCCACAGCCTGCCAATTTCGAACTCCAGAAGCAATGGGTCGATAACGATTACCCGGGGGATTGCAAACGACAGACTACATAAATAATATTTACACGCGAGAGCTCCGAATAATAAATGTTACACATAATACTCTAACGTCATACGCTAAGAAAGATAACACATTCGCGGCATTTACCCGATTAACGGATCACGCGTAGAGGAAATAAGAGGTCGAAGAGCCAATAAAAGAATTAGAAATGAGCGGAACCGAGGGCATCCCTGGGCGGGTTTGCTGACCCTGTAGCTACCCGGGTGGGCCCAAACGAAACGGTTCATTCGGCAAGGCGGGACAGTGGTGGCGATCCTCCATCTTGGTGTCCGTGAGCTACTTGGCCCTCGGCTCCTTGGAATGGCTAATCCGGCGATACTCGAGGTTCCCTCGACGATGGGGAACCGATCCTTTAGCGATCCGCCGAAATGCGGAAAATTCTCCCGGCTCCTCACCAGACCTATCCCTGCTCCCCCTTGGCATTGTCGTCAATAATTAAAAATACCATCTAATTCCGTCGCTAAACAAGCCCACTTAAGTCAACCGGTAGATGGGAGCACCGATACGTAATTCATCCTCGGTACGGGAACCTACTAATAACCAGACCTAAATGACAAACTTGACATAATGACTGGAACGCAACTTATAATTAACTGTAGAAGATAACGAAAACTTTACCTAATTAATTGCCGAGGTTAACCCTCATCGCCGCCAGCCGATTAAAATGTCGGAAAAATAAACCAATCTGTACTCACTACCACTGTCTCGCGTTTACTTGTAACGGACAGAATTCTGCCACATCACAATATGTACATACATGTATGTGACCCTTCCATATATATATATTTATTGTGACGTTATTTTTACTGATATAACTCCAAACAAAGTTCTGGCAATTAATGTTCCGACCCTCTGGTGGAGTCACAAATAAATAATCAACAAAATAGGGTCTCCGTCTCGTGATCGCTCAACAGCAGCAAAATTTTTGGGCGCCAGGCCCTCCAAAGGGCCAATCCGGGACCCGAACCACACAGGCCCAATCCGGGACCCGAACCACACAGGCCCAATCCGTCGGGGCTCACACCAGCGTACGGGTGCTCACGCACCAGCGATGAACCTCCCAACCCGCCCACGGATTCGCACCAGCGTAAGGCCCGAAGGGTCGGTCCCTCAACGATATATTTTCGATTTTCACAAATAACAGCGTCACCGGGGGTAAACAACCACTTTAGTGCAGAATAGTTTTGTACAATTTGAATAAATATTTTAACGGCGTTCACCACCAAAGTGGGGACGATGACTTCCACCGCTAGATGGCATTAGCATCGAATTCGGTGGGAGGTAACCAAAACGTACTTTCTCGCTCGGATGAGGGAGACGCGACGCATAATAGGCGGTGTTTAGCAACGGCCGAAAAATGTGTGGGTATTTTGCACGTATAGGACTCACGCAACGGCTAGACGCCTCTGGACTAGGCGCCGAAACGTGTGTGACCCCCGGCCGCACGCACACGCCAGGTGGACACTCCGCCTAGAGTCGGCAACGATTGCCAAGGAATGCCCAAATTCCTCGCGAGAAACTCGAAAATCCTGAAAAAGGTGCTCCACGGGGACAACGATTTTGAGCGTATTTCTCAACCGATTGAGCTCAACGAGTGCTCGTTTTAAAGATAAAATGTTGACGTGTGTTTATATGGGAGCGATTTTCGATCGAGCACCTCCTTCCTAGGTAAAAGGGCATTGAAATTATGTCGTTGCACTTTTTTATATTAAAATGACCACTTATCGAAAATCACTGCCATATAAACACGGGTCAACATTTCATCTTCGATATGAGCACTCGTTAAGCTCGATCGGTTTAGAAATACGTTCGGAATCGTTGTCCCCGTGAGGCCCTGCAAAATCGCTGGAGTGGTGAGCGCCCTTAAGGTGTACAATATGTATACTATGTTTATAACTGAATCGGCATTTTTTTCATCAGCCCAAACATCCTTTAAAGGAGTGGATACCGGTATTTAAATTTATCCGTAGAATCATCATTATAAATAACTTTAGGGGCAGTTTTTACCCCTTAAATAGGGGATTGGGCCGATAAAAAAAAATACGTGTCCCTTATTTTTCGATCCTCTGCAACATATTTAAATTTCAAGAAAATCGGAGACGGACCCCTCAGGGGGTTTCCTTGTAAGTACGATACCCAACCTATCCCAGCATTCCTTCGGATGTACATACATTGTGCACACACGAGGGGAACACATCCAATGCTCGTTTTGTGTTTCTCCTTGTAGCACCTAACAATTAGGACGATAATACGTAAAATGTTATTATTCAGGCAAGTTAGATATGGAACTCTATCACTGTTACTCATCGATTACAGAATAATGGTATTACCTGACATGAATGTATTCTTGCGAGTGTAATACTAGAAGAAGAAAGTAACGTGCCGAAAAAAAAAAAAACATGTACATGCAGCTGCTAAAGACCACCTAAGTCCGTAATTACAATAATTTCTACCGAACCCTGTAGACTGCGGATCGATCGATAGAGGGTTCGACAGGTTCGCTCCAAAGGTATCCCCGAGTAACGTGGTAAGAATCGTTCGCACTTGATACTGATCCGAAAAACAAGTCTAGTAAACTCGGTGTAATATCTCTATATTCATTGTACAATTAGGTGCAACTAGTATCAGAAGTTTTTAATAAATTTCAGTAACTCGTGAGTGTCACCGGAGAAATGAATTGATGTGAGATTTTCAAACCAAATTCCAATTTCCCATTGAAGCCTTAAATTAGTAAGGCTAAGGTATACTTTCCTATATTTTGTCTGCGCCTTTTCGTGACATTTTTTTATCACATGCAGAATGTTAAATATATGAATATCCAAATTACTGTTTTAGACGTAACTTATAAATACATGTGGTTACTGTTATATGAATAGTCGGTGCATATTAATATATAACTTTGCTATTGTTTGCACAACCCGAAATACATAAGAAGTGAAGTTTTCAAAATAGGTTAAAAGTATTTTTTTCCATTAGTTTTGAGGAATAATATGATCGTGACGAATGAAGGGCGGGCATTTGTCACCTTCAAAGATTTCATCGGTCCTAATGTCATGATGTTGCGGTTTACCGGATTGCCGTTTATGGATTGCGTACTTACTGGAAAGAATAAGATGCCTACAATTCTGGAAACGACTGTGTCTTCATTGAGCATAATGGGTATCTTCTTCGTAATAGTTATGGAATTCCGAACATTGGTATCGATATGGCAAGAAGACACGATGTACGCGCTAAGCACTGTGCCCACGATATTGTCCGTCACACTCTCCTTATCGAAGGTGAATACTAGATACAATACAATTGCGTAAATTGTTTCGTTGAAGTTCCCACAAACTGATTACTTCTGAGTTTCTATACTTTGCAGAATTCTGCAATTTCACTGCTGCGCTTGCAGTTGCTCGAGTCATCATTTGTTCCTTGTGCTCAGTGGCCTTAAGGTGAAGTGAAACACGTCGAGGAACTTGGTCAACGTCGATAAAGAAGATTTTTCTAAATGCCTACGTTGCCGCCGTTCGTTTTTATATTGACAGCTGTGTCGAATTATATTGGATATTGTACCAAATGGCGTACACCATATGTCGTTTCCGTACAATAATTATAAAGAAATCAAAGTAAAACTCCAGAAATCCTCTAGATTCATGCTTTCTGGGGCCCTAATTGACTGCTGAGGGACCCCCTGCGCCATCTGTGATTTCCAGGTCAATTAAATTTTCACGCCAAGACCTCGTATTCCCATCGTTTTGGCATACAAGCGCATACAACACTTTTTTTGCCTTTATCCCGTTAAAATACGAGTTTATCGATTACCAGAGTGTTCTAAATTGTCGTAAAATTGTCCTGACCCTTTCGATTCTCATATCAGAGCCTTCGATAATTGTATATTGATCGAAATATGAGAGCTCGACGCCATTTTGGTTCTGGTCTAGGCTGAGTTAAAAAATTGTTTTGAAAAATCCAAATTTTCAATGTGTCAGGACAATTCTTAGATGATGAAAGTTTCGGAAGGTTTTGTCTAATACCCTTAAAAAAAAGTGTTGTATTCAAATCGACTGATTTGAAGGGTGTTTCACTTCACCTTAATTCGTTTCAATAATTCTGACCTGATGCAGAGAAGTGCTTTTAAGGTGACGTGGCACCATGCAGGAAAAATGAGGGCTTAGGATATTAAATCTTATACGCATTAAAAATGAAGATCTCGTTCTTTGATGTTTCAGGGAGTTAGATTCGTTCAAAAGCGCCTGGAACTGAAGAATCTCCTTCAAAAGATGGCATTGCTCTGGGAGACTTCATTTCACCCGAACATGCACATAACTACCGTTGATGAGATGCTCGATAAATTAACCATCATTAGAAATATTTATTTCGTCGTAATTGTCGGCGGCGTCGTTTTTTACAGTTTACCTGTCTATGCGTAAGTTGAACTCACACGTATTCATAATCTTTCAAAAATCCCTCACGTTTACTTCTACAGTCTATAGCATTATAGCGTAGTAACTTTAACGGTCCATTTTAATAAAAATTTTCGTAAATAACGAGTTGTTTTGAATATGATTCCAACACAACTAGAAAAAAATCATTGACGAAAAAAACTGAAACATCCCTCTGGCTGCTAAAATTAATTTCCTGCTAATTTTGTTGCGCTTCCAAATAAATTAATTGTAATGAAAAAAATTAAGGTTTGAATGAAAAAATCGTAAAACGTGTTACAACGTGAAATATATTTCATTAAAAAAGATTCTACTTTCCTGGAATAATCTTGCTTGAACTACCCCTCAGAGATATTGGTCTTCAATATTTCTTCACGAAGAACGAGAACAATTCTTACAACTACACCCAGATGATATTTCCGATAGTATATCCGTTTACCCTGAGGACTGCGTTTCCCTATTTTGCTGTCATTGCCGTGGAACAGATCTTGGTGATCATTGCAATAACAATGTGGGCATCCTGTGATACATTATTTGCACATGTTGTCACGTATGCTGCCATCCATTTTCGGGTGAGTAATCACGGATGATATGTGCCCATAATTATGAAAGTGGTCTAAGTCGTATATTTTTAGTTTCGAAATTACATTGAATTAATTTCGTTTGAAATAATATGGCGTGAAATAACTGATAAACTCATTTTTTTTTTTAATTTTGACTTAGACCACTTTCATAATTATGGGCACATATAAAGAAAACATGTTTTTTAAAGAACTTTCCGTTTATTATCTATATACTTTGCTACGCGGTTTCCTCTGCGGGATTCGCGCTCTGCAAAATGGGGAGGATCGGGGTCCGTTAGATGGTCTGGCTCTCCGCGGGGTCGCTCGACGGGAGTTCCCTCTACGGTTACAGGGGCGCTTTATTTTTATCGGAACCCCAGGTGCGGGAAGTCCGAATCCGTGCCCGCGGATATCCGGCAAGGGGCGAGACTGACTTTGCGGGAGGCGAAAACGGCCCCGATCACTGGCCTCTCACAAGGAAACATTCCCAAGTGTCCGCCCCCGATCTCATTGATTTCCATATACGTTGAAGAACACAAAAATCTAAGAGACACGTGTTTTTTTATATCTGCAATGGTCCACATTTAAGGGGTGAAACTACCCCCAAAGTTTGGCGAAAATTCAGTTTTTATAATAATTTTCGTAGAAGCAATGGAGGGATTTCTACGAAACTTGGTATAAACGTATTCCGTATAAGGACGGTGAAAACACAATATTGTCCAGCAATGTTATACCCCCCCAAGGGGGTGAACTACCCTTCAGGCGACATTTTTTTGTAATATCTAATAAACGAGCACTCCTACTTACGTTCCACTTACGCGATGTGCTTGCTCACCAAAAATGAAGAATCCGTGTTTTTTGCTTTTTACCAATAAACATTTACACATCGGTTGTAAACAATGAATGGAGGTGGTATACGGGTATATTCCGAGTAGCTTTATTGGGTTATATCGTGACCAATTCCTTGTATATAAATCTTGTGAACGTGCTAATTCCTCAAAATGTCGTTGGTTTTCATAATATGCAATTATTTACGAATATCGCTAACTCTATTATCGTAAAAACAGTAAAAATCCAATTTTACCGTTTTACCAAGGAGATTGTATTACTAGTTGGAAACGGGTGATGACTGCGTCATCGGATCTGTTGCGAAACTATTTTAGTCTCTTAAACTTTTTTTCAAATTTATTTATAAATAATTGCATGCTATGAAAACCAAGGACATTTTGAGGAATAAGTACGTTCACAAGATTTATGTACAATGAATTGGTCACGATATGATCCAATATAGCTAGTCGAAATATACCCGTACACCACCTACATTCATTGTTTACAACCGATATGTAAATGTTTATTGGCAAAAAGCAAAAAACACGTATTTCTTCATTTTTTGTGAGTAATCACATCGCGTAAGTGGGACTTAAGTACGAATGCTTGTTTAATAGATATTACAAAAAAATGTCGCTTGAAGAGTAGTTCACCTCCTTGGGGGGGTGTAGCATTGCTGGACAATATTGTGTTTTCACCGTCCTTATACAGAATACGTTTATACCAAGTTTCGTCGAAATCCCTCGATTGCTTCTACGAAAATTGTTATAAAAATCGAATTTTCGCCAAACTTTGGGGGGTTGTTTCACTCCTTAAATGTGGACCATTGCAGATATAAAAAAACACGTGCGAAATGCATGGGATGGGAAGCAATACTCGGTAGGTTTAGTGTTAAAATTTAATCTGCGATACAATCTTTTAACTGAATACTCAATCATGCTCAATTTGTCCATGAATCTATGTCGACAGGTTTTGCGACACGAGCTTGAGAATATTTTCAACAGCGAGTATCCAGCCCGGCCTGACGACATAATTAACCTGAAGATCGCAGTTATCGCCAAACGTCACTTGGAACTATTCAGGTAAAGTCTGCTTTAGGTTCTCTCGTTTCTTGTTCCGGTAGTATCGATACACGCCGTTAAGAAGAAAAACTGCAGTTTAATATATTTCTTCAGCTTGTGTAACGCGATCGAGGACATATTCAGTCCTTTGGTGATGTTGTCCATGTTGCTTTCCGCTTCCAATATGTGTATCACCATGTATGAGATGGAGAAGGTAATTCATTAACATCTTTATATATGTACATTCTTATGCTTTATATATGTATAAGATATGCATTTTTCTGAGAAATTTCTGACAACTCTTCTATTTACGATCGTGCCGAATTCTATAATAACGTTGTGCCGCAAGGTAGTTTATGTAAAAAGAACTTTGCGCAAAATTCATCCGCCAGAGAAAACAATGAAATAAATTACTTTTTTCCAAATACGTACATTGATTCTCATGGTCGAAGAAAGTAAACAGAATTCAGTTTGTTTCTACCATAAATAAAATAATAACGATTAACTTCAGAAATGTAATTAAATCAATATCGTGTATAAAATACTGAATGTGAACTGTGCTAAAACGATGGGAATACGAGGTCTCGGAGTGAAAATTTAATTGACCTGGAAATCATAGATGGCGCAGGGGGTCCCTCTGCAGTCAATTAGGGACCCAGAAAGCATGAATTCAGAGGATTTCTGGACATTTACTTCGATTTCTTGATATTTATTGTACGAAAACAACAGGTGGAGTATGCCATTTGGTACAATATCCAATATAATTCGATACAGCTGTCAATATAAAAACGAACGTCGGCAACGTAGGCATTTAGAAAAATCTTCTTTATCGACGTCGATCAAGTTCCTCGACTTGTTTCACTTCACTTTAAGAATTTCAATATAAATGTACGATGTCGATTTTAACGTTACACGTGTATGTACATGACAATCCGATAATCGACAAAAGAATATAGGAAACTATAATCTCAGGGTATAACAATATACTGTTATATTTAGTGTACAATTATTTACGAATCTCTGTCATATTTCAGATGCTTTCCATGAACAATTACGTAGAATTAGCAACGAATCTGATACACCTGTGCGCTCTGTTCCTAATGGTCTTGACATTCTGCGGTTTCGCAACAATGCTGAGTGATCAGGTTAGTTCATATTCCTTTATTAAAATGGATACACGTTAGCTGTAACTAATGTTCAACGCATTTTTTCGTAAAAAAGAAGTCCAGTCTCGCACATAACGCATACTTGCTATTGGCTTTTAAACCGTTTTCCTTTCTTTTAAGAGAAGAAAAGACGCACGCATTTCCAATTGTTTTCGGTTCATTTGACATTTAGTTTCATATATCAAGCAACATTCAATATTGAATAAAAATGAATACAAGAATATAGTTAGCGTTAAGCATTTTGGTACTTTCATAATGTTTAAATAATAGCTTTTTATAAGAAAAATCTGTAAACTTATAAGCAAGCGACGTTTGGTGTTTGTTATTAATTGGCTTTTGAACCGTTNATTACCATCGTTTTGGCATAGAAGCGCATACAACACTACTTATATTAAGGAATTATAGTATCATATGTCTTGTACTGTACTGAATGTAGACGGAGGGAGTCAGTTTGGGTGCTTATGGTTCAAACTGGTTCACTTGCGATCCCGTAATGAAGATTCTCCTTATCTTCATAATGATGAGGGCCCAGAAACCCTTCCATTGTACGGCTTATGGCTTTTTCCCTATCAGCCTGAACCAAGTTACTGCGGTATGAAGTGCCATGATCATTGTAATGTTAATATAGTATCGCTGTACGATAAAGGAATTTAATTTTGCAGATCTTCAGCTCGGCGTTGTCTTACTTTTCGATACTACGAACGATGACGTGAGCCCGTTGCATTGACGTACTTCTGTTATGTAATTCATAATCAATTAAATCGCTAAAATGTTATATGTCCCTTATTACAATTGTTATCGAGTCTTGGTGAATTCGTGTTTAATAAAGCAGCTCTTGTTCGAAGAATTTAGTTCTTCTTCAACAAATATGTGAGTGCTGTTTACGATTTTACTGCTTTTTGTGAATGTGCTTATTCCATTTTTTCCTACATCAGGCGTAAGTAGGCTGTCTATTAAGGAATGTTCATGAATAATAACCGTGTCAACTTAAAAAAGGTGAGTACCTTCATATTCTCTTCGGAAATCAAATTTAATTTCAAGACAGCTGACAACCAGAACAATACAAAAAAAGTTTCATTTGGGTAGAACAATTACAGCTCGCGTAAGGGGTAAAAGAAGTATTCAAAGGGGTGGCGCACTCTATAAAAATGAATTTTTTCGAAAAATTCCAAATGCATGTTTCATAATTCTTAATTCCCTACATTTTGACGGTTGTTTCATGAAAATCGGTCGAGTGCTTCTATATGAAACAGCAAACTCACCCCCTTGCACGGCCAACTTTAAAGTCTGATTTCACCCCCTAAAAGTGTTTATCCGCCGATTAAGAAAAACACGGGTCCCTTAAACTTTAGTCTTCTATAACATTTTTAAATAATTATGTTAAATAAAATTAAATAAAAAATAAATTATATAAAAATGAACAAAATCGAAGGGGGACACCTCAGGTACCTTCCTCGTAAGAGAACGAGGCAAAGAAAGAGAAGAACAGAGCGCAATTGAGTACCAAGCAAATACGCATAAACATTCAGGGATAAATCCCGTATCGATGCGTGGCAACGTTCCCAACGCGATCCGTGGTTGTGACTCCGAAATAAAGCGATAATCGCTGAAATTTGACTTTTCCGTATCCTAATATTTCCCGTTCGAGCACGTATAAGAATTGTTTAACCGTTTGAGTGCCAAGGAGCGATTTTGCGCTTCTTCTGTGTCGATCGAACGGCGCCAGCGTTCTAGGCTGCGAAGCCGAGAACCGCGACACGCTCGGTTTTCGTCGATGCGCGACTTTACGGTTACCATTCCATTTTAGGTAAAAGTAAAAGAATGAGACAGCTGGTAAAAGAACGAATTTGAATTTCAGTCGAACATTACCGCTTACCGTATAGAGCAGAAAACAGCGCAATAGCGCTCCTTGGCATTTTTAATCGGGGAATAAGACAAGCGCTATTGCGTCGCTTGGCACTTTTGGACGGGAAAACAGCAAAGACACGTGGCACTCAAACAGTTAAAGAAGATGATCGAGTCAGAAGTTTAAGACTTCGATTCGATAAACTGTAATGAGCTTGCAATGCCCAACGCAACCTAGCAGATATTTATTCAAACAATACGTCTGTTTTATAATATATTTCCGAAACATTAACAGTTTTAAAAATGTAGCGTATACTATATAAAATTATCAAATATTTGGTACACCGTGAATGATATAACCTAATGCGTAAGACGCTAGGTTTCGCGGAAAAGTCGATCGATTATTAGATAATGAATTTTTCGAGTCAATATTTTTTTTTGTATTTAGTGTGATTTATGATATAACAAGACTGAATTAAAAATAAATAGAGGTAATCAAACATGAGTCTTATACAATAGGAAAGAATTAAATTTGAAATTATTTAAACAATGAATTATCTATATTGAGAACTGCAACTTTATCAAGTTTTATTTAATCCAGAGACTTGAGCGCTTGTCTCTACATTCGTGAAATATTTGAACTCGCGTCGAGCACGAACATGTGCCAAGTATGTGTTTAAGGTGAAGTTGAAACACGTCGTGGAACTTGATCGACGTCGATAAAGAAGATTTTTCTAAATACCTACGATGTCAACGTTCGTTTTTATATTGACAGCTGGGTCGAATTATATTGGGTATTGTACCAAATGGCATACTCCACCTGTCGTCTTCGTACAATAATTATAAAGAAATCGAAGTAAAACTCTAGAGATCCTCTGGATTCATGCTTTCTGGGGACCTAATTGACTGCAGAGGGACCCCCTGCGCCATCTGTGATTTCCAGGTCGATTAAATTTTCACTCCGAGACCTCGTATTACCATCGTTTTGGCATAGAAGCGCATACAACACTTTTTTTGCCGTTTATCCCGTTTAAATGCGAGTCTATCGATTACCAGAGTGTTCTAAATTGTCGAAAAATTGTCCTGACCCTTTCGTTTCTCATATCAGAGCCTTAGATAATTGTACATTGATCGAAATATGAGAGCTCGACGCCATTCTGGTTCTGCTCTGGGCTAAGTTAACACATTTTTTCCAAAAATCCAAATTCTGAATGTGTCAGGACAATTCTCAGATGATTACGAGTCATGTGTCAAAGGTTCGAACAGGTTGGTCCAATACCCTTAAAAAAAGTGTTGTATTCGAATCGACTGATTTGAAGGGGGTTTCACTTCACCTTAAGTCCCACGCCCATTGCCCAGTAAGAAGCGGTAAAATGCAAGTTGGCAAAATTGGGGAAAAATAACGTCACTACTCTCGCCATAGATAGGAATCGCCAGACTCTATTAAGCTTCGCACATTTTACCCATGTGGCGCAAAGATTATACACGACTTTCTAGGAGCGATTACTAGAGCCTTAAATTAATAGTTTCACTTTCAACGCACGTATCTGCAACGAATCGATTTATTTTATAACATTAGATATGATAATTAGGAATGAAACTTTGGTTGCGAAGAAAAGTAGATAACGCTACTGCGAACCCTCGATCAGGCTTTGCAAGCGACTGAATACTGTGCTCAAAGGCGTGCTTGAGCAACTCTGTTATTCCTTCTACTAGTTACATTGCGCATGCACAGGGGGAACATCCCAGAAGTCTGTTCTATCGTTCTCCATACAGAACCTATCAATTTTGACGCCGATATTTGAAATGTAATTATGCAAACAAGTTGCATGTGAAACCCTGTCATATGGTACTCATCGATTACGGATCACTTCTGTTACTTGACATGGGCGAAAACCCGTGGAGGCGATACTATAGGAAGAAAGCGCCGTACGAAGAAAAAGAAGCGGTAAAATGCAACTTGGCAAAATTCGGGAAAAATAACGTCACTAATTTCGCCATAGATAGGAATCGCCAGACTCTATTAAGCTTCGCACATTTTACCCATGTGGCGCAAAGATTATACACGACTTTCTAGGAGCGATTACTAGAGCCTTAAATTAATAGTTTCACTTTCAACGCGCGTATTTGCAACGAATTATTTTATATCATTAGATATGATAATTAGGAATGAAACTTTGGTTGCGAAGAAAAGTAGATAACGCTACTGCGAACTCTCGATCAGGCTCTGCAAGCGACTGAATACGGTGCTCAAAGAAGTGCCTGAGCAACTCTGTTATTCCTTCTGCTAGTTACATTGCGCACGCACAGGGGGAACATCCCAGAAGTCTGTCTGTCGTTCTCCATAAAGAACCTATCAATTTTGACGCCGATATTTGAAATGTAATTATGCAAACAAGTTACATGTGGAACCCTGTCATGTGGTACTCATCGATTACGGATCACTTCTGTTACTTGACACGGGCGAAAACCCGTGGAGGCGATACTATAGGAAGAAACCGCCGTACGAAGAAAAGACACTTAAACGCGACTATTAAAGACCACCTAAGCCCGTAATTAAAATGACTTCCACCATGCCCTATACGTTGCGGATCGATCAGGAGAGGGTGCAGTCAGCTTGCTCAAACGGTGCTCTGGAGTAAAGTGGTGAGAGTCGTTCGAACTCGACACTGGATCGAAGAAGAATCAATTTAGTCAACTTAATAGAATATTTCGGTATTCAACTGTCCGTTATATGTGCCCATAATTATGAAAGTGGTCTAAATCAAAATTGAAAAAAAAAATGAGTGTATCAGTTATTTCACGCCACATTATTTTAAACTAAATTAATTCAATGTAATTTCGAAACAAAAAATATATGACTTAGACCACTTTCATAATTATGGGCACATATGGGAATAGATGGAAGCAGAGCATTGTGGTTTTCAACTTAACGTTCATATTCTGTAAATCGGTGTTAAACTGGTAAGGTAGAGCGATGAATTCCTTTATGTTTCTTTACCTTTTAACGTGATATTAAAGGGACATTCTCTCTCTATACATTTAATGCCGAAATATTTATGAAACTTTTCTTCAAACTGGGTGCACCAAATCGTTGGAAACTTCAGCACGTAATTGTAGAGTTGGCATAATGATTTTGAACAGTGCGGTAATCAAACATTATGTATTCATGTGGGAATTATGGAAAAAAGTTTTATAAATGCCTAAATTGAAGTTCCGGGATATAACGGAAGCAACAAGTGCTCTGTAAGTGCTCTTGGAGCGAAAATGTAGTTCTCTCCAAATGCAACACATGACCCTGTAACTGATTAGTGTATCAAAATGGGTTTATGTGCAGCCAATAATGTGTATAAAAAGTCATGAATCCAGGGGACTTTTTGAATTTTACTTCGATCATACTATAATAATTCTATTGATACGACATATGACGTTCGCCATTTTGTATAATTCTTAATGTAAAGAGCAACCGACGTCGTCCGAGATATAAATGTCAGTAATGTGCCGAACAAGTTTATGAAGAATTCTGCTTTACCGTCATCGATCGAATTTCTCGGTACCTCTCCCATCACCATAGGATCTTAAGGTGAAGTGAAACACCCTTCAAATCAGTCGATTTGAATACAGCACTTTTTTTTTAAGGGTATTAGACCAAACCGTCCGAAACTTTGACACATCACTCCTGATCATCTAAGAATTGTCCTGACACATTCAAAATAAGGATTTTTGTTTTAATTTTTTAACTCCGCCCAGACCAGAACCGAAATGGCGTCGAGCTCTCATATTTCGATCAATATACAATTATCGAAGGCTCTGATATGAAAAACAAAAGAGTCAGGACAATTCTACGACAATTTAGAACACTCTGGTAGTCGATAAACTCGCATTTGAACGGGATAAAGGCGAAAAAAGTGTTGTATGCGCTTCTATGCTAAAAGGATGGTAATACAAGATTTCGGAGTGAAAATTTAATTGACCTGGAAATCACAGATGGCGCAGGGGGTCCCTCTGCAGTCAATTAGGGCCCCAGAAAGCATGAATCCAGAGTTCTGGAGTTTTACTTCGATTTCTTTTTAATTATTGTACGAAAACGACAGATGGAGTATGCCACTTAATGCAATACCCAATATAATTCGACACAACTGTCAATATAAAAACGAACGTCGACAACGTAGAAATTTAGAAAAATCTTCTTTATCAACGTCGATCAAGTTCCTCGACGTGTTTCACTTCACCTTAACCTTGTGCAGTGTGTGTTTCTCAAAATAGATTAGAAGCATCATATCGATTTCTTTTTTCTTTTCTAGGACAATCATGATCATAAGGAATGAAGAGAACATTATTATTACTTTCAAAGACTTCATTGGCCCCACCGTCATGGTGCTCCGATGCATCGGAATGCAATTTATGGACAGTGTATTCACTGAGGAAAATAAATCTCCTACATTTTGGGAAATGTTTATCCCTATACTGGGCGTCACGGGAATCTTCTCCGTAGTAGCTGTGGAACTGCGGACTCTGTCATCTACCTGGGGAGAAGATAATGTCTATACAGTGACCATTGTTCTTACAATACTGACCATAACTCTCGCCGCATTAAAAGTAAATACCACAAAATAATGCATAAACTATTTCAGAAGACAAATTTGATAAAATGCTCACTTACGTGTTTGCACACATTCCAAGTTTTTACTGTTTTGTCCGTTACAATGTTCATTTATCTATCACACGTTACATTGGTTAGAACCCTTATGTCAATGACCGAATACCATTTTGCTCCTTTCTATGTCAATCTTGTATAATTCCGCAATAGACGTTAAAACACGCTCATATCAAAGATGAAACGTTGACCTGTGTTTATATGGGAGCGATTTTCGATAAGAGGTCATTTTCATATAAAAAAGTGCAACGAAATAATTTCAATGCCCTTTTAACTAGGAAGGAGGTGCTCGATCGAAAATCGCTCCCATATAAACACCCGTCAACATTTTATCTTTAAAACAAGCACTCGTTGAGCTCGATCGGTTGAGAAATACGCTCAAAATCGCCGTCCCCGTGGAGCACCTTATTTAGGATTTTCGAGTTTCTCCTCGCAACTAGTCCTCGCAACTAGTCCTCGCAACTAGTGCATAGTCGAGTGGTAACGCCACGCGAGCGAGCAGGATGCAGTGCCAGGTTTTCAACCACTATATGTAAGTTATATTTCATTCTCTCATCTTTAAGAACTACAGTTGCAATGTAAAATACAAACACGGTTACGTTCAGTTTTTATAATAATACAATCTAAATATAAAACAATGTAATCAGTCTGCACGATTTGTCCAGACATGTGATTCACTTTCGATTTTTCCTTCACAGTAATATTTGATAACAATCGTTCTTTGATATCAAGTAGACTGATAATGGAAACCGAACGTAACGAACGAAACTGAACAAACCGAAATATTACTTACATATAGTGTTTGAAAACCTGGCACTGCATACTGCTCGCTTGCGCGACGTTACAACTCGGCTACGCACTAGTTGCGAGGACAGTTAACTCCACTGTCTTATATTCTACGAATCACATTCCTTTGAATCGAAGGGGTAATTTACCCTTCGAATGTATCGGATGGTACCTGACCGTATTCTTTTATTAATTTTAATCGTTAAAGTCCTTTAAGTTCAAGAAAGTCGTACAAAGCTGGTTTTAAAACGAGATTATACATCATTTTATTAAAGGGTTCTTACAACCCTTAGAATTCGGTTTTCGAAAAAATCCAAAATATGCTTTTTTTGTATTGTTCTGGTCTATGAATTAACCAAGTTTCATTTGGATAGAATAATTACTGCTCGCGTAAGGGGTAAAAGAAGTATTCAAAGGGGTGGCTCACCCCCTTAAAAATGAATTTTTTCGAAAAATTCCAAATGTATGTTTCATAATTCTTCATTCCCTACATTTTGACGGTTGTTTCATGAAAATCGGTCGAGTGCTTCTATATGAAACAGCAAACTCACCCCCTTTCATGGCCAAGTTTGTAGTCTGATTTCACCCCCTAAAAGTGTTTATCCGCCGATAAAAAAAAACACGGGTCCCTTAAACTTTAGTCTTCTATAACATATTTAAAAATGAACAAAATCGGAGGGGGACACCTCAGGTACCTTCCTTGTGAGCCACAACCGCGTCTCTTAATATAGTATTCGGGACCGCATGAGAGCATATAAAATTGCCTCATGTCTTTTGCAAACGAAATTTGTGCGACTTGATCATTGAACAACGGAATAACTTTTGGTCATTGACTTAAAGGTTAATGCGAAATTATAGCCTAACCTCTTCGTTTTTTTATATTTCATATATTATGTCGGGTGCGTATATTCCGTATATTGTACTTTCATTTACTTAATATTCTAGGGGATTAGAATCGTACAGAAACGACTAGAAATAAGAGATCTCCTTAAAAAAATGGCAGTTCTCTGGAAAACCGCAATTTATCCAAATATGCACGTAGACGCCGTGCATGAGATGTTCCATACATTAGTTATTGTTAGAACCATGTATCTCGGTGTACTTGGTGGTGGTGTTTCCCTTTACTGCTTACCTCCTTACATGTAAGCATGTCCCTTATATATCTAGTTAAGATTCCGTGTAAAAAATATTATACGTCTTTGCAGTACTGACAATTAATAATTTATCACTCAACACGATACTTTTGCTTGAAACTATTCTCAGAGCCATCGGCAATCAATACTTCTCCACGAAGAATGAGAACAATTCGTACAACTATACCCAGCTGGTATTTCCGATGAGCATCCCATTTCAGTTGAAAACTGCATTTGCTTACGTTGCTGTCACCGGTGTACAACAATTAATTGCATTAGCCATAATGACCATGTGGATATCCTGCGACACATTGTTCGCTCACATGACTACGTACGCTGCTATCCACTTTCGAGTAAGCACTCACTCATGAATTAGTTTTATAAATATCCATTAACAAGTTTATATTCATTTTGTAGATTACAAAATATGGTGCGCGGCTATCACGCACGGTGAAAATCAAATTTCTATGTTGACGAGAATGATTATTGATTATTCTTAGATATTCCTTCACGGAATGCCCATACGCGTTCGGTGCTAGTTGTTTTGGACATAGCAATATTAAGAGACCAAACCGAATACAAATAGTTGTGTATTCTTTTTTTTTTTGTAATTATATAAGCTGCGGCAGGATTTAGGGTCTCGCGTCCACACCCTGTAAATTAGGTGTTCTGCAAAATTTTTCCGCGATAATTCCGAGTTCGGCGGGGCGATGGAATTCGAATACGAGGAACGGTTCGCTTTAACGGCGTTCACCACCAAAGTGGGGACGATGACTTCCACCGCTAGATGGCATTAGCATCGAATTCGGTGGGAGGTAACTAAAACGTACTTTCTCGCTCGGACGAGGGTGACGCGACGCATAATGGGTGGTGTTTAGCAACGGGCGAAAAATGTGTGCGTATTTTGCACGTATAGGACTCACGCAACGGCTAGACGCCTCTGGACTAGGCGCCGAAACGTGTTTGACCCCCGGCCGCACGCACACGCCAGGTGGACGCTCCGCCTAGAGTCGGCAACGGTTGCTAAGGAATGCCCAAATTCCTCGCGAGAAACTCGAAAATCCTGAAAAAGGTGCTCCATGGGGACAACGATTTTGCGCGTATTTCTCAACCGATGGAGCTCAACGAGTGCTCGTTTTAAAGATAAAACGTTGACGTGTGTTTATATAGGAGCGATTTTCAATCGAGCACCTCCTTCCTAGGTAAAAGAGCATTGAAATTATGTCGTTGCACTTTTTTATATGAAAATGACCACTTATCGAAAATCGCTCCCATATAAATACAGGTCAACGTTTCATCTTCGATATGAGCACTCGTTAAGTTCGATCGGTTTAGAAATACGTTCGGAATCGTTGTCCCCGTGAGGCCCTGCAAAATCGCTGGAGTGGTGAGCGCCCTTAATTTGTTTAACGGCGTTCATCACCAAAGTGGGGACGATGACTTGTCCAAATTTAAGATCAATCGCGAAGACAGCTATACTAAAGTATACGAGTATTGAACTTCCAAGAATTTTATCACTTTTTTAGTGTAATGTATAAAGTTCTTAACTTTATTGTGCTTGTTATATCTGTCTTAATAGGTTCTACGGTATGAATTGGAGAACATGTTTGACAACGATAGCAAGGCTCGGCCCAACCAAGTCGTGAATCCTAAAATTGTAACTCTCGCCGAACGCCACTTAGAACTTTTCAGGTAAAGTCTGCTAAAATTTCTCTCGTTTATAATTCCGTCAATATAAATATACGATGCAAAAGATAATGTTGCAATTGCATTAATCAAGTGGCCACATTTCTCTTATACACGTGGTGAGATCTAGGAAGTTGTAGCTATTATCAATCGAAAATATTTTTCCATTAAATAATCATATACACTTATTATCGTATTGCAATAAGATATGGAGGAAAACATTCAGGTTGATTTTGAATAATTTTCAGAGTTGTAAACTGCAGTACCGAACTTATCGGGCCCGTAGCATAAGACTGTGTAATGGTAATGAAGTATCTTCCTTTCAATGAAACATTTATTTAATAAGTTATATTACTTAATAATTGATCAATTTTAATTGTTACCGTTATAAATCTTATGCTACGAGCCGTACGAGTTTGATACTGCTGTTTGTAACCCCTTAAATTATCCAAAATCAACCTATAGAATCGAGAGGAGGCCATAAAGCGAGGAAGATATTCGACAGCAAAAATATAATTTAATATATTTTCTCAGGATTTTTCAGAACTAGATTGGCTGTTGCTATTAAGTTTTCAAAGTTCTAACAAGTTCTATTTAATGAAACTTTATTTAGACTTGTCACGCGGTAACTGATTTCACTACATTAGTAGGTAGCTTACGAATTAAAAATGCTCCTAAATTTGTCACCGATACCCGATTTTATTACTTTTGTAAGTGAAATATGGAAACAATTTTTATTTTAATATTATTACTCAATGAACTTGTCTTTTTTCATACCAGAGGTGCTTTTGTTGAGGATTTCTTTTCTTTTTGCAAAGAGAGTTCGCAAAAAACCATAGATTTAAACAAATATCAAAACCTTTTCGAAAAATCAAGAATGCTAGAGATTTCGCAAGACCTATCGAAATTTCGCGAGTTCTCGAACATTCAACCGAATATTCTGCTAAATGTATCGGCGAATGCCCAGGGACGCGCTCTGAATTACTGAATAATTATGGATGATTTACAGAAAATTAGATAATACAGGAAATACCTGCAACAAGAGGCGTACAAAATGATATAATTAGATTGTCATTGTTCTCCTCTCGGTTCGGTGACCTCCGGACCCTGAATCATTTAAAGCTCTAAAAATGGGCTATATAAGAAACATTTGAAGAGTCGCGACGTGACCAAAATTACACCACGTCACAATACCTATATTAAATTTTGTTACGTGCGAGTTAATCACTTACTTATAAAACGATGATTTTATATGACATGATATATTTTCTCCATTGTCTTTATTTTTACTTTGATATTTTGCGTAATTATAGCTTTTACCACAGTAGCAGCGGTAAATTTTCGTTAAATAACACGAACCTTTTTCTTTCCGTATTTAACTTGTAACTCCTGGGTATACTGGATCGTTAATTCTTGGTAAATGATGGCACTAAGACCTTAATAAACTGTGAAGTTAGTAGCTGGCAGTCCAGCCTGTTATAGTTATAGTACTTTCATTCCTATATTCAAGATCAATTTCAGTTCCGTTATCAACATTACATGTTTATTTCCTACTTTACATTGTTAATGACAACAGTTAAGTTATACCGCCAAACTGAGCAATATTTAAATCCGAAATTTAATTAGAAACTGGTTTATCTTAGCAGCCGATTATATTTTCTTATAGCTTATGCAACGCCATCGAGGATATATTCAGTCCTATGATAATGCTGTCAATGCTGCTCTGTGCCACGAATATGTGCATCACAATGTATGAGATGGAGAAGGTCGTGTCTTTGTTAACGTACTTTTTAATTTTTTACATAATTATATACAAATTTTCTATTTTACATTGCAGATGCTGTCCTTGGGTGATTACGTGGAATTCGGAATGAATTTTGCACACTTATGCGCTCTTTTTTTGATGGTTTTGATATTCTGCGGTTTTGCGACCATGCTGAGTGATCAGGTAAATTTATCATTTTCTCATATACGTTCAAGACTAGGTATCACAAACTGATTTTTAGAGAGTGGTACTTCGATTCCTAAGTGTAATAAGTAGGGGCGTAAGTGTAATAAAAAAGGACGCATCGAGGCAACAAGGTGCCAGTTCCTTTTCCATCAAATCCATTACGTGTAATTCGTTTCAATCCCAGTTGCTTTTTCGAAACGACCACGTTCGTTCATGCGGGGTTTTTTTCCAAAACCGTCACATTTGTGTGCAAGTTCCTTTTCCGAATCTGCCACGTTCATAATCTGTCTCTTTTTACAATTTCGTCAATTTCAATAGTTTCTAAGTTTTTAGTGGCAAATCACTTTTTAAGTTCTACATCCGCAATGCACTCAAAACATTAGTCGCAAACACCGAATCCTTCGTAGCAGTCTTTGTTATAAGTATGAAAGTATATTTTTCGTAATCTCTCTCTATTCCTTTTTTTAATAAATGAAAATAATTTGTAGTAAATTAAATTTTATTTCTTTCGTACTTATTAATATTAAGTTAAAATCCAACTAATATTACTGTTATGTCCAAGCTCCACTGCCAGAATCATTTCCTTACTAATTCCATGCTACAAAAAGATGTGCGGGGCTTGGTCCAGCTCCCCTCCTATATCCCAATTTCTGCTATTTCCTTCACTATAAGAAGGTGCGCGGCTAGGCCCAGCTCCCCTTCTAAATCTCAATTCCTCTATTTCTTTTCTGATCAGAGGTCGCGGGGCACAGTTCAACTCCGTTTCTGAACCTCCAAATTTTCCCAAGTCCAAAGGCAAGGCAAATATCGTTTGGCAATGTTGCTAATTAATCTTTGTATGACAATTCGTTTCTAACATATTCTATATCACTAAGGACAACGGCAGCGCCCGGGCGTGCCAAGGGACCCCAATGATTCCAAGCCAAATTATGGCGTCTTAAGGTGGTTCAAATCATTTCCTTCACTATAAGAAGGTGCGGGGCTTGGCCCAGCTCCCCTTCTAAATCTCAATTCCACTATTTCTTTTCTGATCAGAGGTCGCAGGGCACAGTTCAACTCCCTTTCTGAATCTCCAAATTTTCCCAAGTCCAAAGGCAAGGCAAATAACGTTTGGCAATGTTGCTAATTAATCTTTGTATGACAATTCGTTTCTAACATATTCTATATCATTAAGGACAACGGCAGCGCCCGGGCGTACCAAGGGACCCCAACGATTCCAAGCCAAGTTATGGCGTCTTAAGGGGGTTCAAATCATTTCCTTCACTATAAAAAGGTACGCGGCTTGGCCCAGCTCCCTTTCTAAATCTCAATTCCACTATTCCTTTTCTGATCAGAGAAAGCGGGGCACAGTTCAACTCCCTTTCTGAATCTCCAAATTTTCCCAAGTCCAAAGGCAAGGCACATAACGTTTGGCAATGTTGCTAATTAATCTTTGAATGACAATTCGTTTCTAACATATTCTACATCACTAAAGACAACGGCAACGCCCGGGCGTACCAAGAGACCCCAATGATTCCAAGCCAAGTTATGGCGTCTTAAGGTGGTTCAAATCATAAATCTTATCGTCGAATTCTCACTTAAATCCACCCACCCGGACATAACACTATAATCCGTGTATTTCGAATTGCACTCCAGGCGCAATTTACCCTGGAGCTGTCTCAAAAATGGTTCAGGCTTTCTTTAAGCCTCCCGCCTTTATCTAGATGCATCCACTTTTGGGAAATCGTATAAAACCCAGTTGTTAAAAGAATACGCGCGATTTTGATTAATGAGGCTGTTTTCGTCCTAAATGATTTTTATCGAAATAAATGCAAATGGATGTCCTTTCTACTTTTTATGCTACTACAAAACACGACAGTTTCATTCCAATGGATTTCACTGAGGGGTAAGAAGTGATAATTAAAGAGGTGGTTTGTCGCTTAAAAATGGGTTGCCACACAGAACAAATAATGTCGTTTTCTACCCTCATTATTGCGAACATTTTATCATTTATTCCATTGAAATGGGTAGAGTCTTTCTGAGTGAAACTGCGAAATCGTCCCCTCGTATACCCAACTTTGGAGGGTAGTTTCACCCCTTTAAATCGTTTTACCACAACTGTAAATAATACATGTCGCTTACAATATGTTTTTCTATAAACATACAAAATTGAAGAAAATCGAAAAGAAACATTTCGTGGGCATTCCTTGTGGGTTAAAATTATTGTTTACCGACAACAAATAAGTTCCTTGGCGGGTTTTAAATCACCTTAAAATGCGTAGCTGTGTTTGCAGTCTGAAGACATCAGTGTGGGCGTTTACGGGTCAAATTGGTTCGGATGCGATCCTGTGATGAAGAGCCTCCTCGTGATCATAATGATGCGTGCCCAAAAGTCTTTCCACTGTACAGCCTACGGCTTTTTTCCCATCAGTCTGAATCAGGTTACTACGGTATGAAGTGTTACGTTTTTTGTGTATGACATCAATCAAATTGATCTACTACAAATGAATTTCATTCCGCAGATCTTCAGTTCGGCATTGTCCTACTTTTCGATGCTACGGACGCTGACATAAACTGTCTGGATCAATGTCCGGATGTTAAGTGCTCTGCAGTCATTTGAATCCCTTATAGTAATGTCCGTTACAAGCCTTATGTTTCCAGTTGTTATCGAAGTCGGATGAATTCATCTTAAATAAAGCATATCTTGTTTAAAGAGTTTAATTCATCTTTCGCAGATGTGTTACCATACGCACGCTGAGGTAGATGTGTTTAGGATATTATATCTGTTACATCAATCATCCATGGGATATGACGGAGTACTTATTCATTGAGAAGGTGACAAAACCAAAGAAGAGGTGAGAACTGCTGTACTTTTTTTTAGAGAAATTTGGAAATAAGATACATGGTCAAGACTATATTAACACTATGCCGTCCGGCGACACCACAGTGGTGACGTGCGCAAACTAGCGGTCAACGGCCGGTGACACCACAGTGGTGATGTGCGCAAACTTTTGGCCAACGGCCGGCGACACCACAGTGGTGTCGATAACGTCAAAAACGGCCGGCGACAAGTCAAGTGATCCGAATTAGCGCTGCCGGCGCCAAACGAATAAATATTTACGAATCGTGCGGACGGCAAAGTGTTAAGATTAACACCGAGATTTTTGCTTTCAGGGCTGCTGGGATTATAGTGAGTCAACTAATAGCCGATTCAACCATACCTGCTGTCTCTGTCGTGTCTATGCACTGACGAAAATGACGCTTTCTTAAATTTGTATTGGGTTATTCATACATTTTCGTATTAGTATCCATATCTGTTCGTGCTTGTCAATGTCAAAGCGCCTACTACGTTCTGAACCGATATTTCCACTGCACAGATGGTACGGCATGGCATCGGTGCTATGTGGAAAGTTGTTCTTTTGAACTCATTGGTTTCCTTCAAAGTATCGTTTGTTTTTAATTCCGAATGTTTAAACCTCATTCTTTTTAGTAGCATATTCATTGAGACATTTGGAAGTATTGATAGAATTTAATTCCATTATCTACTAACTTGTTGTATAATATAACAAATTCACTCATAATTTCTCTCTATTTACACATTTCATGGATGCGTTTGTTTAATTTTTTGCATAAAATACTTTACTTTCTGTCTAAAATTAATGTAATCATTGCAACTTCCTCGACTGAAAAATTCATTCTTTTTCATGTCTCGTCGTCCGGTGACCGCGAAGCACCGAAAAAGGATCAAGGCAGTATGTAAATATTACGTACAGATTTACACAGGTACGACATAATCACGAACACTATACGGGTATGTTAGAATCGGCCTTAATGACATTTTGGTCCCACGATTTCATTCCTACCAGATGTCTTTGCTAGGTACGAGCTGTTTGGATATCAGCAAAATTGGGCACGAATTATTGCACATAGCGCAAAGATGACGTCGGTACAGTCAACCGGCAGTACTGGGTACCGATGTCTGCTGTAAATAGCCATGGGCACAGTCAATATTACTAAATTATTTAATTTGCAGTTGTAGCGAAATCATGCCGAGATCATATTGCACACTTTGATACTCGGATTCAATAATGCCGGTATCCGAATGGCCCGTGTCCATGTGCGATTCATCCAGTGGAACGAAACGACCAAATTGCCTCGGTTTGCGATGATTCTGGGAATTTCTAGACTTTCATCCTGGCTCAGTTCTTCACCGGAGAATCTACATTAACGCTGCAAGAGCCACGTACCCTTGATTCACAACCATAAAGACTATCGCGTTGGCCGCGCATCCGACAAATATATAAATGTTTTCGAAACCAGTTGTCTTTGGAATACCTGCGAGGTGTAATATCGACATAAATGCGAATAGAACGTTCTAGGTTTGGTAAGGTTTAATTACAATCTCCTTGCAGGGGGCCGCCAGCCGATATAACCAACCTGCAAAGGCCTGGAATGGATTGGCATATTCAATGGACGTAAGATACACAAAGCCCGCAAATTCAATCATTCCCTTTTATTTTTGCAAAGACAAGATCCATAATAGGGATAACAAGAGCCATTCTGTCTCTCTTTTGCCAACAGGTAGGTCATTGCCAGATTTTCCAACGTAAGAATTTCATCTAGAAGGAACCAGGCCTACGGCTGTCGGGCGTACTTCCTCTGGCCGACCTCGCGGACAGGCGATCCACCTATGGGCCCCGATCCCTTTCCCTCGTTTGCTAGCGCGCCACCGGTTATAGTAAAGCGCGTTGCAATGTAAATCTTTATCACGGCTATGTTTTCAGTACATATGTCATAGAATTTTAAATAACCTGTATAGAAATCTAAACTATTCGAAAACGTTAACGGCGTTCACCACCAAAGTGGGGACGATGACTTCCACCGCTAGATGGTATTAGCATCGAATTCGGTGGGAGGTAACTAAAACGTACTTTCTCGCTCGGACGAGGGTGACGCGACGCATAATGGGTGGTGTTTAGCAACGGGCGAAAAATGTGTGGGTATTTTGCACGTATAGGACTCACGCAACGGCTAGACGCCTCTGGACTAGGCGCCGAAACGTGTGTGACCCCCGGCCGCACGCGACGCCAGTTGGACGCTCCGCCTAGAGTCGGCAACGATTGCCAAGGAATGCCCAAATTCCTCGCGAGAAACTCGAAAATCCTGAAAAAGGTGCTCCACGGGGACAACGATTTTGAGCGTATTTCTCAACCGATTGAGCTCAACGAGTGCTCGTTTTAAAGATAAAACGTTGACGTGTGTTTATATGGGAGCGATTTTCGATCGGTAAAAGGGCATTGAAATTATGTCGTTGCACTTTTTTATATGAAAATTACTACTTATCGAAAATCACTCCCATATAAACACAGGTCAACGTTTCGTCTTCGATGTGAGCACTCGTTAAGCTCGATCGGTTTAGAAATACGTTCGGAATCGTTATCCCCGTGAGGTCCTGCAAAATCGCTAGAGTGGTGAGCGCCCTTAAAATGAGTGTTTATATTCAGCTTTCACAGACTTATAAAAATGTATTAGGGTGTCCCATAAGTTCCTTCCGCACCGTGTATTCATTTCGTATCAAAAAAAGGAAGAAACTTATGGGACATCCTAATAGTTACACTGTAAAAAATTGCGCACATTTAAATGAAATGTTTTTAAATGATATTCATAAAATTCATGCACTATTAGTATATAAGGTTGTACTAAAATTTTGAATGTAGCATCTTTAAAGTGAGTCAGTATACATTTATAATACACTTTTAAATAAAAAGACGATTTTATAATATACTGTTACAATTTTTTAAATGACTTAATTTTACAATCACTTACGAGTTTTTTTAAGAATAAGTTTACAACAAGATGCAACAAGTATCTTTAGCACCGATCGAGAAGTAACGGTGTGGTCTGCATGAGTCCGAGAAATATTTAATCCTCCATAGACTTTGGTAGCATCATAATTAGCATTCCTACTTTCTACCCATGAGTCCCGGGTTCAAATCCCGATAATTGCAAAAAAATGTTTCTTTATCAAAAACAGAAAGATTTGTCTGCATAACTGTACCGAACAAATTCTCAAACAGACTCTGCTAAAAAGGTGTTATGAATTTAATTTTTTTCACAAATACATAAGAATATCTATAGACCATCTATTGTAGATATCTACAATATATGTATATATTACGTACCATATCTGGACATCTAGCCTTTGAGTGGATCTACAATAGAGTTCACAGATATCTATATATATCTTACATATGTTCAATAAACATTTATATACGATTATTTTATGGATATTCCACGTTCCGAGGTGCCTGGGACTCCACTCAGGAAGATACTCAGTCTTTAGAAAATTATTAGGACTGATCATTTTTAACTAGTGTTACGTGGCAGCAAAGCGGATGCGAGGCCGGGGAGATTCGGGTAGGGATTACCTGAATGTTGCGCATAACGAATATATTAATCTTGCGAGGAAATTGACCCGAGCGGCTAGATCAACTCCTCTCGTGGGATCTTTGGAAGTGAAGACTGCAAGAGGGTCTGAATGAATGGCAATGTGGACTAGTGTGCTATGACTGTTGTATTTATTCGGCAGTGAGGTTTAGTTCATAATCAGCTGGGAGGGGCACCCGAGGTGTCTTGACCTAATTTCCTCTGGGTTATTATACTTCCGCGTCGCTGGGGTTCGGGTGTCGCGATAGCGCGCTTTAGCGGCGGTAGGTTACTGAACACCGGGGTGCTGACGCGAGGATTCTTTGCTGTTAGAATGGCGAATTATGCGTAATTCAAATCTATCTCGCGATGCTAAAATTTCGAGCTCAGTTGTTAAGGAGACTTATAGTCTCTAGGTGCGGTCGGCCGCAGCCGATAATTAATTCTATAGTCATCAGGTTGTTCGCCTTGGGCCGATCAATGACTTTTGGAGTCGTTTTGGCCGATGAACTTGTAGTGTCAGGTATTTTACTGTTGGATCCATTCGCAAGAGTTTCCTAATTGCGTTACCGTACTTGGATCTCCATGGCTAGCTTCCGGTGATCGGAATATGGTTTTTTCCTAGCTAAGGATACTGAGGGTGCCTACGTAACACTAGTGATAAAAAAATCTCCAGCAGCTTTAGTAGCTCAGTTAGCATTTTTTAAATCTGAAAGAGAAAGATGTAGGTCTCTATCGTGATGCAATCTCGATCGTAATCATTATTCCAGATGTTTTCGTTTAAACTGGAATAGTCTTACCTGCCTTCAACGTCATCATTGGCAAGACTCACGTCTTACAGATTTTCTGGCTCCTCACATGCAATTGAAGTTTTAGGCAATGTATCTAGAATCGTTTGTAAACGGGAACGACGCGTTGGCGATTCATAAATTATATTCTTCTAACTGAATCTGATTTATTAGGAACGGCTTCATCAGACCTCGGCTACAACTGTAAATGCGAGACTCGCGACACACATTACGATGAAATGTTTAACGGGTTGCGAAGCACAGCACATCGAAACGTACAATGTGTGTGTTTAGGTCATTGTCCGTAGTATGGAGAAGTATGATAATGCCGAGCTGAAAATCTGCAAAATAAAATTAGT